AACACGATTAAATTGTTCAAAACTGTGCCGTTTGTTGCAGAATTTGTTTGTACACTTTGCAATAATATGGAAGAAACGCGTAAGGGTTCTCTCACAAAGCCACAAAAATCTATTTCACAGGGATAAAAGCGAGTGCTTTGTGATGAACACCCTAAGCTTATATTACTTAATATCTTTCCAGTTGAGCAAACTACACATAGTTTGACGTTGAGAACAAACACTTAGGGTGAGGAGATTAACTTTATGCAATACATATTTAGACACCATGGTGAATATCGGCCAATATTTGCCAAATGCTACTTGAATTTTTATAAATAATGACTGAATAAAGAATTGATTACGAATAAACAACAAGAAAGAAGGAAAAAAGTGAAACAAAAGGAGGAAGGGAGGTAAATAAAAACGGGAAAAGTAGAGAAGGAGAAAGAAAGAAAGCGAAGGAAGAGAAACGATGAATGAACGAGAAATGATTGGTGATAGTACTTAAAAATCATTGTTTTACCTTTTAGGGGGGCGACTACCAAGTAATTAATTGGTAAGAGTTCCAATTAAAGTTTTCCCTTTTTTTGTAATATACCCTGATACTCTTTCATGTTTTCTTAACAACCCTTTATTTCTCTTAGGTTTTTGCCTTCCGGTTGTAGGTATTCTGGGATTTTATCATTTGCCCCAAATTATTTAATAAATATCCTATTTGTTCATAAATTCGTTTGATCGGTTAATGAGAAAACGACAGGGAATTTATTTTGGACTCGTCCTCCCGTATCGGGGGTAAACACCCATCCAGTTTGACATATAAATACCAGACCCCCCCTCAACAAACAGACATAAACCTAATTAGAAAATGAACGATTTTTCATTAACTAAAGTGCTTTAAAAACTTTTTTAACTTCAATGTGGACAATATCTTGCCATTGTACGGATAATTAAAAGCTAACCGGGGCCGAGGAGAGATTGTCTCTGATTTTGTGCAGGTGCCGCTTACAGCGTTGTTTGTGCGAAAACGTATAGAAAAGAAGAAAAGCTTATTTCCGGAGACGTTAGACAACAAACATGTCTTGCTCTCTCTTGGAAACAAGCACATAAAAAAGATGTTATGGTATCTTGCTTGCCAACTTGAAATCGGAAGACTGTTGAACATCCTTAATGCATCGGCTTTAGGAAGCTTCAAATCCTAGAAAACTCCATGGTGCGTTGCTTGTTCGGCCATTGTATCATCAGTATCATTTATTTTGGCTCCAATGTTACGCCGAAACCAACATAATACTGTTTTCTTATTCTGTTGAGTGAATTTAAATGTTTTTCTTACAATATCGCAAAGTAGGAGTCCGGGTTTGAATTGCCGCAAATGTTTTTAATGTTGTCTATTGAGCTTTTATTATCTGACTTTAAACATAATCTGGTAACTGGTAATGTCGAGATGCACTTAACGGCTTTGGCTATAGCGACATTTCGGCTATAAAAATGGATACTTATTTTCGGTAGTGAATAAAGTTCACTGAACCATTTTGGGGATGAAAAAGAGCGGATAAAACTGTAGTTACACGCATACAACAGATAGTTTAACTTATGATTTTATTGAAAATCGGACAAACATAACGTATAAAGAAAGATGGTGTTATTGAAAGGCAGAATGGTAGCACACCCAAGGGTTGAAGCACTTGAATAATGACTAATTTATACAAATTATTCAGCACAATTCTATTACATCATTCACTGTATTCAACTCTCCTGTTTAAAGGTTTTCTTGGAAAAAGTTTTATTAAATGAAAATAAGCAAAAGGGCCAAAACGGCATGATTTGGACCTATCGTAAGGCAGTGTTTAAAGTCGCCAAACAATCTAAGCGGTTTAATCGCCAAATAAATAAATCGATGACGTCAACCAACTTCTTTCGTAAACATGTTTACTTTGCGGTAAGCCGTGGCGAAAAATCCCACCATCCCTTATTCGAAAGTCATGTAAATAACACTTTGACACAGCGTCGGTCATGTGGGATTTTTTCTTTCGACTCCCGGCCTCGCAGTATCGATCACAATGAAAGCTAACCATTGTACGGCTGAAGAACAACGTAGGGCTGTTCAAATAAAATGGCTTTTTGTACATTTAAACATCAGTTGATGAATAATTCAGCGCTGATCCAAAATTCCATCTTGAGAACAATGACTCAATAAAGGAGGTTACGTGGAACTTTTTAATTTCAAGAGCTTTAAATAAAGACCATGTAGACTTTCATCAAACCAATTTATTTGCTTTTGCCCTTGTAACCTTTTGAAATAATAACTTTTCTAAAACGATATTTTAAATAAAAAGAATCAGCTTTTAAAAGCGTATAGCCGTGCTTTAATGAAAACTTAAGGTTATACTTCACCGCGACTACTAACTGCTTCATTCTCAAAACTTTAATGCCTCCTAACATCACTGATAGGCAAAAACTTCCATCCAATTGATTTTGTTTCATTTTCTCGATAAAAGAAAATTCTTCCCTTAATTTGACTTATTGTTTTTACCAATAAATATTTGTTTGGTGTTTAGTGATCGTTAGTCAATGATTATTCGGAGATCTTGAGATGCGGTCTGGTGTGACGTAGGTTTTAGAAAAACATTTTCTTTATCTTGCCAACGTTTCGGTCTTTATTGAGATCATCTTCAGGGCTCAAAGTGTTTGTTTTCTGCGTAATTGTGCATTGTGTGTCGTGTTGAGAGTGCCCAAGTTGGGATCGAAACGTCACACCAGACCGTATCTCACGATCTCCAAATAATAATAAATATTTGTTTATGGTATGTTTTAAATTTGGAATATCAATTAGAGGTAAACACACTTAATCATTCATCCAAAACAAGAATAAAGGATTTTTCATTGCTTAGTTTTTTGGTATTTAAAATGTTTATTCAGTCTCATTTGAATTCTGAAGCAATAAACTATTTAGTTTTCATTTTTTTCTTAATTTCAATTTTTAAACTTAAAAATGCCACTTCAGTGCTGAGGATGTTGCGCGTGGTGTGGTACGTTTTGATGATGGACGTTCCAACAGTGCGGCTATTGCCATGGGAGTTCCCTACGAAACACTGCGAGACGCCGTTAAACGTTTTCCAGAAACTGGATCCTACCATAGAAGTCCCGGTTCTGGACGCTCTAGGGTAACAGAACCAGAGGACGACCGTTGTTTGACTTTGAGAATTTTGCGAAACCGGCACCTTACTGTTGTACCCTTTACAGCGATACTATAACCTGTCATACAACTCTCTCACCCTTTAAGCGATTCATCAGGTCCAGGAAATTCGAGGGGTCCAAATTTCTGAACGCACTGCTAGAAGAAGATTAAAGCTCTTCGCCCCGTGGACCAGAACACACAGAGTTGCACGGCTCCCATTTGCTCGAGAACACATCCATTGGTCTTTAGACGATTGGTCCGCTGTACTTTTTACAGATGAGTGTAGATTTGCTCTACGAATTCCAGATGGCGTGAAAGAGTGTGGAGAATGCGAAATGAAAGGTACGAAGCCTGTACTTTTTCCCAGAGCCGACCTTTTCAATGTAGCTGTGGTGCGGGAGGGAATTCAAATGAAGGGTCGCATAGAGTTGGTTGTTGTTCGTGGAGTGTCTTTGACGGTCACTCGCTATGTGGATGAAATTTTGGGACATAATGCGTTCCCTACCCTCGATGAAATCAGCGACAATCCTATTCTAATGCACCACAATGCCCGTCCACATGTCGCCCGCATAGTACAAACTTCAACAGCATAACATTAGGTCCTTAGCCAAGCCAGCCCGTTCTCTAGACTTGAACCCCATCGAACATTATGGTATAACCTCTAAAGACGAATAAGAGCACGTCCATCCCTTCCTGATACACTCCATGATCTTGAAAGGACTCTTCGTGAAGAATGGGCTAACCTCCAGCAAAGAGACATTTCCAGACTTTAGAAAGAATGCCGAGGCAATTTCGAGATTTCGAGATGTAATTAAGGCTAGAGGAGGAAATACGCGATATGGAAATGTTAATTAAAAATCTAAAACAAATTTTATATGTCCGTTTTTTTTCGTTTTTCATATTCCTTAGAGCAATTTATAGTATTTTTTTACTTTTTTAGACAAAGACTCAATTACTAAACGTTAAAAACCGTGCAACTTTGATTAATATATAAAAATATATACAAATCAAGTTATATTACAAGTGGGTGGAATTTTTTGCCTGCCAGTGTATTATTATAAAGACCGGTATTTCTCAAGGACATATTCTGGCACGACTCTTTTACATGACCTGCAGAGATTACCCTTTACAGCGATACTATAACCTGTCATACAACTCTCTCACCCTTAGCTTGAAGAATCAAGGTATACGAAAACAAATCCTACAATAAAGTATTTATCTAAAATAAATAACCAACTTTTCTTCTAGTACATAACGACTGTACATATGCAAAGAAGATTAAGCTAACGCTACAGTTGTTTAAGAATGGGCTGGCGTAGTTTATAAGTTTAGGTTTTAAGTTTGTAAATTCAAAGACGTGTAGTAAATGACCGAGGAGGTACTATACCGAAATATTAAGTCTGCATGAACTAGTTAGGCGAACTTCGCATCCTGAAACATTTTAATCCACTTTCCACTTAATAAAAGCAGGCGCGGGTTTGATTTAGAAACCCTGCAAATTCAGATTTTCTACAGGGTTTTGTTATTTAATTATGGACAACTTTTTAACAGAATCGGTAGCTGATCGAACTGCTGCCATGGTTACCGTTATTTGGCGCTAACCCAGCACATTCTCTAAAATAGAACGGGGTTTCAGATGGACGCCAGGCCCCTGACCCATCAGGGTGAGACCTTTTATTTGTTCCTACCCCCAAGAAAAACTTTTCGCTCAAAATCTATCTAACAAAATAATCTAGGCAAAGAAAAATACGGAGTGAATGCCATCTTCGTTCCAAATCATACCAACATATCCCGGTAAATACTGCAGGAAAAATGATTAAAGAATTTCATAAAATATAAAACTCACCAGTGATTCGGAGGAGCGATTGGCATAATAAAATTCGGTGCGAACCAAACGGATCTCAGCCCTGAAAATACAAACAATATGATAAACAACATTACCAGCAAAACTATTATATAAAGAAATTCAAATGTTTATTTGTCTAGTCTCTCAGTTTATATATGTGAGTGTGTGTGTGTGTGTGTGTGTGTGTGTTAACCTTCAATACATTCGGTTATTTCTTATGGTGCACAAATATGGGGTCGTACAACTTCAAACATCTTTCCGTTTCCCTACATGTACTCCTACTGCATTTGTGCACGTTGAGACTCAACGTGAACCTGTTCATGTTAAACTACATCTAACTATTTTGTAACTCTACATCTAAACTAAATGATATGCGGGATGAAAAATGATCCTAAATGTGGCAATTCAATCTTCTTGATCAAAGTCAACCTCGTGTGGAATATGAAAAAAACCATTTAGGAAATGTGCAAATAACGGTAAAGAATTTGCATAAAAACTGATGGGAAATATTCTTTTGATCAGACACCTAAACTCTGATTGTATGGAAAATAGTTATGTAAGTAAAGGTCTTTAAAACTACAGAGCATCAGTCAACATGTAGTTTGATACCGCATTGTAAGGGCTGTAAACATAGAGAGGTTCATTAACAAAATGTTCTATTAAAAAGATAGAATAGATTCATAAAAATATAAGCTGCTATTTTATACAAATTTTTGCCTTTTTTCCGGCCAGTAGGTGAATAAGGCGATATTTTGGTTTACAAGACATTATTGCGCCTGAATTTTGAATGCTTATTGTTTTCGAGCCGGTCATTAAGTATTTAAGTTATGTGGCACGGATCAGTCTCTAGTCAAATACGTACTTATTTGTAAGGACTGTAAGTACGGAGAGGAGTGATGCTTCTATTTATGATGGTAGGTTGCCACAAAGGACTTTGTGCTCATAAAAACTAATGTTTTATTAAAAAAAGAAATCTGGTCAATCTTATTGAAAAGAACCATTCAGAAAGAGTGCAAATAGAGTTGAAGAATTGTCATAAAAACTAACGGGAAATACTATTTTGATCAGACACTAAACTTTGATTTTATGGAAAATAAAGTAAATTAGGAATGGAAACAGCTAAAATTGTTTTAAAAGTAAGGTTTGATTTTTAAATCTGACTCCTTTGCTTTTTAGAGTTGCCAATGTCGTAGCTATTTCAAATTGATGTCAAATATAATTTATTCTAAAAATTAAGATTGTCTACAGTTAAATAAGTGCATATAAATGCATCTGTGATCAATGATTCACTGCTTTCAACGTTTTTAAAAAGTGCTTATCGTCTGGGAACAGAAATTGTCATTATGATAAAGACAATCGCGTTTTACAAACTACAACCCGGCCTTCCGTACCCGCAGCACCTTCGTAAAAACTAGTAGAAACATTTAAAAAAATAAAATCAGAAGAAAAACCCAAAATAACGTCTAATTTTGTTACTTTTGACATGAAGAGAAATAAAGATTTTTACTTAAAAAAGACTAACTTTTCTGGTTGTTGACGAGACAAAAAGATTTACTGAAAACCCTGTAGTTTACTATAAAACTATAATAGAAATAAGAAAGTTTGCTTTTATTTAATATTAACTTGTATGTTAAATTGGACAACTGGCAATCACTGTTGTATTTTCGTGCATATATAAATAAATATTTCTATCGATTATGTTACAATTAATTTGTGTGATGTGTTCTCTTAGCTCAATGTTGAAAAATGTTTACCGTTTAATGTATTGGGTTGTCCGGAAAATAATGCAGGATTTTGGTATTAAACAAAAAAAAGAAACTAGTTACTTTAAAGCAATGTTCTTTAATCAAAATAATTTCCCATACTCTCAATACATTTCTCCCAACGTGTTGGTAACTTANATTCATACAAATGAGTAATCCTGTAAACGTAAACAGAATATTTTATATAGATTTTTTTTAATGAAAACTTAAAATCCTGCATTATTTTCCGGACAACCCGATATATATGTTAAATCACAGTTGACAGTTAAGTTGTTAAACTTTTCGCGTTACGTAACATGTTTGCCTTGAAAGTGTTTCTCATCCAGATCGAATTGTACAAGACTAGTTTTCTCCAGATATGTTGAAAGTTTTATAAATGAAAAGTGCCTTGGATAGTTAAATCTAATAATCTATATTGGATTCGGTTGTAATTTTAACTATGAACTTTACGGTTAAGCTATTAAAATTATCCTACATATGTCGGTCAGTACGATTTCTTGTAAAATATGTTAACTTTTTCAAATTAAACTCAAATGAAATAATTTAAACAAAAGACATTTATTCGTGCAAAGCACGAAAAAAGACATATATCATCATGTAGGTCTGTTCTAGAAAAACAATCTTTAACGGCCAATATCTACTCTAATCGGCCCATAAAATGCGTATCGGCCGACATTCTGATCCATGTGTGCACAATATATACAGGCTACCGCATAAGTTGAAAGAAGAGTAGAGTGAAAGTCAACGGTCCATATAGAAACTAGGGCCTTTCCATTTCGTTGATCTTGGCCCGTTATTTATTATTATTCTGAGTTGGAAGGGAAAGTGAAACTTGTTCAATCGAACTTTTGACGACCAGCTGATGAGATAACCTTTTTAAGATTTTGTTCCACATCACTCCTCCGGAGTATGTGACGAGGGAAACGATCATTTTATAAAAGTTTTAAATAAATTTCAAAAATGCGAGAGTTGTTCTAGATTGTCTTATGATTATTCTCGAATAAGAAAGAAAATTAATTTAAATGTTAACTTTTTCAAGGTAGGCATCGTTTAAATGTATAGTAAAAACTTGTAATTTTATCGACTATTTAATTTCTTAGTTCAAAACAAAATAAGCATTAGTATTTTCTTCGTCGTGATGTTACGAGAGAAAATTTAATTTAATTAAAATTGCTATTTTGATTATAGTCAATAATGATAAAAATCCCTATGTGTCAGTGGCGTTTGACAGGAAATCTTTTGACATTTTTACGGTTGAATTTAATATAATATTATTGCATGTTTTACCAATTACTTGTGAAAATATTTTATTAATGAGGGCTATATTAAATACGAAAACTTGCAAGATATTAGTTCAGAAGTTTCCAATTCAAAGCAATTGTTTATTATAAAATTCAAACTTCTCGTGTTTAATCAATTTATTCAAAACATTGAACAAAGTAGATGGCTATTATGTGTTCATAATAAAACTTAGCCGGTCTTTCTAAGCTAATGATTTAAAAGGTGCGACCAATCTGTTGCCATCATTGAGAATGAATTGATTTTCTGAGCTGACAATTTATAGTTTAAAGTTGGACTTCTTTACTCAGGACTTAAAATAAAATAGTCTATCTTCTAATCTGATAATTCAAAGAGAGTAGGTCTTCTTAGCTTATAATGTGTAGTTTAACGTTGGCCTTTCGTACTCAGAGCCATAAATAATGAATTGGTCTTCTGATCTGATATTTTAAATCATTGGCCTATTCTACGTCTATAATTCAAAATCAGCTGCTCCTCTGATTGTAAGCTGATGACTTAACTATCAAACTGGATTTTCGTGCTCAGAGATTTAACAACACATCTATCTTACGAAGCGGACAATTTGATGTACAGGACTGGGCTATGCTAAAAAAATTACTGAGCTGGCCTGCCTATGCTTATTTTTTTAAGTACTGAACTGATCTTTTAAGATTATAATTAAAGAAAGCTTTTACGTGGATTTTTCACCTCTGTACTTTTTTTGTTTTAAATTAACTGAATATTACAATTACTTACAATTTTGGGTAACAAGTAATAGTACATAAGAGTAAAGAAACAAAACAAAATTTTTACATGGTTTGCAAGGAGGATGTTAATGAAGTAGATTGGAGTGCAGGTGGACGGAGTATGAAAGTAATTTTTATTGATTCATAGGTGTTTAGTTCAATTACCTCAGTTCCTGCACCATTATCTATTAACTGAAAATGATGCTGCATATTACGGGAAGAAGTGACACAAAAGGTGTATGAGAAGAGAATTGCTGGGTCATCAGCAAAGGGTAAGGCTGTAAGTGACAGGAGGTCTTATGGTACACCGTCTTCGATAGGATGGTATAAGGAAAGAGCAGTTCCATAGCTAAAACGGAAATACCGGACATCGAAGTAGCTACATGGCATAAGGTTGATGGGAGGATGTCCTTGGGCAACGGCAGCAAGCTCGGATGGCACACCCAATCAGCATGAGCCACATCAAGGAATGCCCCCGAACTGCCCCAGCTTCAGGGAGGATGAACTCTGTTCTTAAAAAGAATCGCACTTCTGCTTTATGAAGAAAAGCTCATATTTTTAAACACTTAACTGAACTTCAGTAGCTGTAAAGCGAAGAAATTGATTCCAATAGTTAAATCAGGATCAGCATAATATATATAGCATTTGAAAGCAGTGGTTTCAAAATTCAACAAAATGGGGCTGACCAGGTTTGAAATTATGTTAATAAAGTTGACTTCTAAGCTTATAACTTAGGTAAATGAACCGTTGGGTTTGATTAGGTAATTTAATGTACTCTGTTTGTGAACCCAATTTTAATTTTGACCTAATTGAATCTAAAACGCTAGTTAATTATGAAAAATCACCTAACTGGTTTGAGGGCACGGAATTTAAATTTAAGAGACGGGCCGTCTGTCACTTTACTACGGATTAACGGTTAGTTCCGCAATGTCGACCCGCTAATTCAAATCTATTCCGTTCCACCCGCGGAGTAAAGTTCTTGAATATTTTTCCTCTTTAATTTTCGACTAGAAAAAGTACGCGGTGCTATTGTTGTTTGTTAAATCCTATCCAGCCCCATGGCAGTTCTTGCCATTCTCAATCCAGGATTTGCATTACTACGGCCCAAACCCAACCCAACGAAAAGGAAAATATCTGTGCGGAAAGTACATATAAAACTTTCATGATATCGCTCATTGTTATTTCTCCGAGTTTTCGATTCCAGATTACTGCGTCTCATCTAAGTCCATTGAAATATTTATACAAAGGTTTATATAAATAAATCTATATTGGTC